GAATAAAAGAGCACGTACATTCCTCATTGATTGTTTTCATTCAAAGTGGCAGCTCTAATGTGTGCCATGGTTGCAGACTGCCTGGCTTCATGCCGTGGGAGAGAGGGTGAGAACAGTCATGGTGAGCGCCTAAAGCTTGGTTACTTCTTGCTTGTTGCTCTTTGGTCAGTGTTCATAGCTGCGCGTTGTTTACCATCAGAGCATTGCCTCACTTGCTATGTTTAATGGTGCAGAGAGTGCTGGTTTCTGACATGAATGATATGGGCAAATACCCAGGGAATTATCTTTTTATTTAAGCAGAACAAAGAGTTTGTTCTGCTTATCTGAAATAAGCTGAAATTTATTTCAGCTCCAATTATTTAATATCTAGGTGTTTTTATGGAAATGTGAATCTTTCAGATCAATTTGATTAGCAATTTTGATAATATTTCACATTTTATTGTGTCATGCAGTGCGGGGCGCCAGTCTTGGTCTTGACTTGGTCTCGACTTCCTTCGGTCTTGGTCTTCACTTGGTCTCGGGTTAGGTGGTCTTGACTACAACACTTCTACTGAGTAATCAAGTATAAAACATCGTTTACAAATAAAAGACAGAATTTCATTACTGACTGGCAGTCTGGGCAAAGCGATGTCTCTGAGGAAAGGCTGAATGACCACAGTGAAGTCTGACTGGGTATCATACCGGCCAGAATCAATAAGTTCATGCAGAGAACGCTGGAAGTTAAAAGAAACAATAATAACCATCAGTGACAATGATCATCTTATTTAATCTGATCATTTTTGTACATCTTATTCTACCTGATATCCTCTGTTTACGGTTTCCAGTATTTGAAGAGCTTCAGAGTTAGGCTCTGGCATTACCACACAAGGGCACAACATGCTGTCAAAGAAGAAGTAACACTGTGTTAATGGTTAGCTAATAACTAGATGTCTCAAAATACCCAGACCATAATTAATAATATAGGAGAGTGTAAGGAGACACTCACTTTACAAGCCATGTTGGACAATTCAGCGATGCGTCCATGTGCATTTCTCTGAGTGGAGTTATGTAAAGAGGCTCCACTAGGTTCACCAGAGCTCGGGGAACCTGAGAGATCAGCTTTGTTAGTTCTAATAGACATGCAACCATTGTGATGTGGAAACACCTTGTCAAATGAGTGGCACCTCTTTTTGGAGATAGTCCAAGCTTTCCTTGAGAAACCCTACGTAGTTTTCCACTGAGTAAAGGAGCTGTAAATGAAGAGAAAATGTGTTTCTTTACACACCATCAGAGATAACTTCATAGTGTTGTCTTCTTGCTTCCAAATTTGACACTCACGTTATTTTCGCAGTATGCACAAAGGTCATTTCCACCAATAAAGATAGTAATCAGCTTCCAGTCTGATTCAAAGTTGATATTCTGGAGAAAAGAACATGAAGAGAGAAAAAGAGTTAACTTAGCTATTTTTATTCCACTACATTAAATAAGGTCAAAACTCAAAGTATCTTTTCAAGCTCGAGTTGCTGTGTAGAATTACAAAAGATAAATGTAGACTTACAACGTCATTTTTCATCTTTGTTACCAGGGTACGCACTTGTGATGGTATATCCCTTTGAATAGAAATGCAAAATGCAATCATATTTATTGGTAAAGGATGTTATCCAACTAAAGATTAAATAACTGTTAATTTAAAATGGTAACTTGTTGCTAAAATAAACACCTAAAATAAACATCTGGAGAACTTACGGGCTTGTTGCACCAGGTACTGCCTGATTAAGGAAAGCTTGTGGATTATCCTGATTACCGACACCAAGCGAGTATCCCTTCACATTGTGGTTAAAATGTTTTAAAATGTCTGTAAAAACCAGATACTCTATTAAAAAAGGAACATTTTGAATTCAACGTTGATATTTCTCAAAAATAACGAAGTCATCAGAAATACATACTGGGTAAAGTGGTAACAGTTGTGAGGTCTCCATCTCCACCAATGCTGACAACAAACATAGGAAATTACTTTCAGAAAGTGCCCTTAATTTTATTTAACCAAAGAGTATGAAAAATAATAGTTAAGAGATGGAAAAAAAAGATGCTGAAATAATAAAATTAGAGAGTCTTGACATACCACCAGGATAAACCTCGGTACTGACGTAAGACATCCAGGATGTCATTAGGGCTGGATCCGATGCCGTTCCCTGCCTGGCAGAAAGAATAGGAAAGTCCTTCAGTAAAATGTATGACCCAAAATGTCTAACAAACAAAATGACTCACTGTTAAAGAATCCCCCACAGCCGCCACAACTTTGATATCTGCAGGCCGGAGTTCATGGACTGGAAAATACAAAGAAAATGTCAGGCGATGTCAGATTGTGTTGTTCTAGATCCCACTGATAGAGCCTTTAGAGAGACCATGCAATATACATACTGTTTACTGTCTGCTCACACTAATGAACAAATAGACCACTTTTTGACAACCATAGTTTCCTTTAGTAGGTAAGTTTTAGTTTAAATTATTAGAAATAAAAAAAAAACAAGGTTTGGTTTACAGGATACTAATGTGTGATGGCTCAAAAGTAAAGATTACCAAGAGCCAAATAAGACAAAAAACTATGAAAATATTTTATTTGAAACAAATGTTAACACATAAAATTACCTGAAGTAGGAATGGAGGATGAAGGACTGCGATCTTCACAGGGCAACTCTGTGCCTGTATGCTGATGATCAAGCACATATAAAATAACCACAATGAGATAAGACCCCTAATGCTTGGCAAACCATTTGGTTTGGTTGTGAATTATTCTTACAGTCTGAATGAAATGGTCTGCGTTTCTGTGGTGACTTGAAGGAGTGTTAAATTCTGTCCTCAGGAACGGTCGGTCCTTGTGAAGGAGGAACAGTTTGAGTAAGTGAGTAAATGAGTAAGAATTAACATCTCATGTCACTTGTAAATCTTTATATGACTGTTTGTGAAGACCTTTTGTATTTATACTCACCTCAGTGGGGCATTGCAATGTAGGGATGTTTTTCTTATGGTCTGGAATATGTTGGTCGACAATGGGCTGAAGCTGTGAAAAAAAAATAAACCACACACATAGATGTGACATCCTCTCAGAGTGACAGACTAAAAGTGTTGGTCAGTGTCACTTTCACAACTTCAGATCTCACCAGGTTTTTCCACAACTGTAGCATCAGTTCATCAGTTCGCTTTGAGGCTTCAAACTCTCCAATAGGCTTTCCAGTCTGCTAGCAAGAAAGATTTATACATATTCAAAAGATATGATCACCTTTCTCCTTTCTCTAAATATACAGGTATGTTAGATGCTGCTTGTCGGAGAAAGTGTAAATGTAAAACGATCACATCAGCAGCTTAAACTCACAGATGACAGGCCTCTGATGAGAGGGGTCGCCTGAAGAGTGACAGTGAAGTCATCTCTGTCTCTGTACCAATGTTTCTGTACCATCAGCTCATCCAGCAACTCCTGGAAAATAAAAACAGTTAGAAAAGAGCAGTTTGAAACTGTTCAGACTCCTTTTATCTTACAAGTCTTTAGCAAACATGACGTTATGCAACAGCTCACTCTACAACTAAGTAGATCTTATTAAAAAGGAAGAAGCTTTATTTGGTGGGAATGAGAAACCTACCTGCAGGGTGTGAGTCAGCACGGCTCTCTGAAGCTTGAGTTCTCCGTCGGTGTATGTGTGTGTGCATGGGCACATCCTGTAAGCAAAACACCTTTATTTACTCAACAAAACCTATCAAGCTACTAAGAACAGCCAAAAACATGCTCAAAATTCAGTTATTTCAAAATAGTAGGCTAAATACTCATAGCAGACAATTTTCTTTTTCCACTTTTCTCTTTGAGCCCAGTATTATCCCTTTCTGATTCTTTCTTTTGGTGCTGCTTACTTTGTCTGGAATGTGTTTAGTCCTCCATCCCACAATGCCACACTGACAATGATCTTTTTCAGCTGCAGCAAGTACAAGTAAAAGTACATTATACACATAATCACTGTCTCTTAAATTACTGCAAAGAGCAATGACACTATTTAATTTGCAACATACCTGAGAGTGGAGCAACTGCACAGCAATATCTACCTCCTCAACCAGCTGTTTGAGAAGAGACGAGATCTGCAGCAAAGACACAAGGATTGTTTTGTGAATAATTTCTTGACCGTTATGCTTTAGTCACTTTGAAGTTCTTTTTTCAGGAACTAATTACACATGAATAACATTTTTCCATCACATCTTGTGATTAAATCACGTCAAGGAAAGTTCAGGAGTGAGAGTTGGACTGTGAGATAATATCTGGACTCTGTAACTTTAAACCTCTGAAACAACACGCATTAAACTCTAATGAACAAGTGATTTTTATTAGTGGCCTTTGAAGTTTAGGCTCTAAGCAACTGATAGAGTCATGTTTATAATTTCCTCTTCAGTATCTAATTATGTTACTAGTTTGTCTGTTTTTGACTCAGTTGCATTGTGTACTTAAAGTCTTTATATTCTCTATTAAACATTAATTCCATGTAAATGTCAGTCATGTACAACACAGAATTAAACATGCACAACATGATACAATCTCATTCAACTGAGCTGTAAAGGTGCCAGTCAGGCATTCACCCTATTTGAAACTCTCCATCCATTTCTGATGCATGTTTAAACTCTAGATTGCCTGAGACAGATTTGCTGCTTTTTTCTCTTCTTCCCTTTTATCCAAATGCATTGTTTACCTGCTCCTGCTGCTCACAGGCACACAGTCGATCCAGCTGAACAAAGAGAAGCACCAACTTCCAGTCTTGATTCTCATCAGCGCCCTGCTGGAGGAAATCAGATCATATGATATTTTTATCAGGTTTTTTTTTTCAGACTCGGTATTAGTCTATCTAGACTTATGTTAGATGAGATTAGAAGCCATGACACTATATAAATGATATTTTAAATGGCAAATTATGTAGTGCATGGGAACAATATTCACACACTTCGCTTTTTGTCCCTAATACAATCACAAACGTCAATGTATTATTTGGATAATATATGAGTGACAACAAAAAAGAAAAAAAGAAACCATGAAAATAACAAATTAAAATAAAATAAAGATTCCACTTGTAGCAGACAAAATTGAAGAAATAATTTTACAATACTTTGTATTTAGAGCGGTATTTTTCTTTACTGGACTAAATTTAAACAGTATGTATTTTTATCCAAACAATGACGTTTGCCTCTTTACCAAAGGTGTCACCTTTCTTTTCCTAGCTGCGTTAGGACAGCATTGTAGCGAAAATGTCTAAAGACGAGAATCAAATTGAAATTAACGAATTAAGATAAAGTTAAATCGGAAAAATAAACTGGAGTTTTTACCTTGTTGCTCTGTAAGTAAAGGGACAATTTATTTGCTTGGTCCACCAGTGTGCTGTAAGTAGTAAGAGACTTTCAATAAGAATAAAAAGACATAACTTGAAGCATTCAGAATCACAAATTATGTGACGAGACAAAACTTTGTACCCATGTTGAAGAAACTGAGGGATGCGTTTGTCTTCTGAGATGGGAGTCACTAGTCCAGGATTGAACAGAGTCACCAGCTCTGTTCAAGAAAAGGAGGAGAAAATGAATAAATAAAAACACAAAGGAGTTAAACATCAAAACTCTAACAATTCAGAATTTAAGCAACACCTCAGCATGTACGGTAAAGAACAGAGTTATAATATACAACATTTCAGTCTGTGAAAATTAAATGCCAAAGCACTGTTTTGTTTCAGGCAGTGTATGAAGTAGTAGTACAGTAATCCAGATTTTAAAAAGCTTTTATAGCAGTGGCAGCTGAATTAGTTCTGTGCTGTTTTGTTCCAGGAAGGCTGAATCTTGTCATGACAGCTGGTGCTGTCTGTCAGGTAGTGGAGACAGCACCAGCTCACAGCCCACCCAAAACCCCCGGCAACCACCTAAACCTGAGAAAATACAGGCAATGTGTGGATGTCTGATACTATCTCAGCTAATGTCAATATCAGTGCGGTAAAGATAG